CTCCCGCAAGCATGGAATGCAAAGTTTGTGAAATCGCATCGTACGTGGCCTCGTGAACGAAAATGAACTCTTGCAAACACTTTCGCGTGCTATTTGAGGCAAACTGAACTCCTCTTTGCACACTTGCTGAAATTCCTGACCCCGGCATTAGTTAGATTCCTTTTTCTTTTTGAAAAGAAAAAGCCGCAGCCGTAGAACCTGTACATGGAACTCATACTTCTGTGCGCTACGCTTGCTGGCCATCCTGAAGCTGCAGAAATATTTTGAGTTCATCGTTTCCCCAAAGTCTCACTTTTAGATGTCTGAACTACACACTGTGAGCCGCCTCAGGGTGTTGTAATTCAATGTCGGGGTCTGCAGACGATCTTGAAACAGTGTCTTACCGGCAGTTGAACTTATCGATGGTCTTGAAAAGATGCGATCCGGACGAATGATGGTAGTCTCCGTGCGCAGGATGCTTCGTGGGCAGTCCTCTGACATTACTCGACTCAGTGCCAGTTTCAATGTCACTGCTGATATGATGCTCGATTTTGCGCTAGAAGTCAGAGGGATCTCCAGTATTGCGCGGCCAGAGGGCCTGATTCGATCGCCTTCACGAAGATTCCTGGGGCAAACGCATCCAGGAACGCCAGGTTGTCGTGATCCGCGAGATAATACCTTGATCTGCAAAGAGCTTTGGTAAGGCGGGGACACAAAACACAAGGAATATACATGTAACCTTGGACAATGTCCAGAGCAACGTCTGGGAGTACTTGTATGACGTATTGAATGGTTTGTTGATGTCGCCGCCGCGGTCCACGTAGTCCATTGTTACAATCGAATGTAGACGGCCAATTGCTGCCACAACGACTCTGCAGTGAACAAAAGATTTTTAGTGTCATTTTGCAGCCAGATAGCAAGGGTAAATGGAAGGCAAACGTACAGCAAGCCGACCGAAAACGCTACGGAAAAGCTGGTTCTGCGACGTGCGTTCGTCTGAAGGTTCCATATGATCCTCTGCGGCAAGGCGAGAATGAATGTGTCCAGAACCAGGTTGATTGCGGCGCTGGCGATATCACGGGCCCTGCTCTCCATGCACGTGCCTGCCACCCAGAAATGCCATCTCTTCTCCATGGGCCGGCAGGCGGCCAAGGCGACAGCGATGCCGGCAGCATAAAAGACCGCGTTCATCAATATCAGAATGACGCTGCTCCAGTAGAAGATGTTGCGTGTGTGGTGTGGGACAAAGATCCGGATCCATTCGAGCATAATCGCCGTTTTCAGAAGGAGCATCACGAGGCCGTAGGAGACTGAAATGACGAGTGAAAGCTAGAAAGGGATCGCGAAGTATGTCAGCCGAGACACCTGCCGAAATATGGAAGAGGTAGGGTTACGAGAATGCTATGAACGCACGTAACCAAAATCAATAATAACCGAGCCAGGCAGATCCCACTGTTGCACAAAAAATCCAACATGCTGTCCAAAATATATATAGGACCATACAAAGAATGGTATCTGCTTAAAGTCAGAACATGGATCAAAATGGCCGAGGCCTCCAAAACATACTATTGCGCCAATGCCAAGGTCTGGGAAGACATGAAGTGTCAGTATAGCAAGAGACACAGAGAGCTTGACAACGGGGACATACAATCCTCTATGTGATGTTCCTTGACAACGCAAATACGCGAGTATGCTCGAGCCAACGCAGTAGTCGCTACAAGAACGATACATAGGACGGCCAAGAAGAAAGCCTCGCCGTTGCTGTTGGAAGGATTGTCCAGATTCGAGGATATCCCTTCCGGCGCAGGGCAAGAAGGGCCATTGAGGTATGCCTGGATTTCTGCGGGAATGCTCATGGCTCACTGGAATGGCAGTGAATGCGATTGAATGGGCGAGAAGACAAGTACGCAGAGAGAGTAAACGAAACAGACCGTGATGGAGATCAAGGCTTCTGAGTTGCGGGGGTGGTGTTTTGAAACGCAAGAACGATGACAGGGGAGAATATCGCACCTCGGGTTTTATCTGAACTGGCTGCACGATCTCGGGTGTAAGCAAATCATTGTGCTTGTAGGAGGGCCGTACAGAGAGTGGCGGATTATGTTCCACCGTATTTTGGGGGCTGAGAATAACGAACCGCGAAGGCGACTACTCCTAGCAAGACATTAGGTCATAGAAACAACAAGGCTGTGCTGAAATGGGGGCCCAGACTGTCTATGCTTGTGAGACCTTTGTGCAAAGCCCGAAGCTGCGTGTGTATAATTGCTGATCGCGACAAAGGTTCAGCTGCATATATCCCTCTGCGGGATTCAGCCGCCCACATGTGTTGGCCGTGGGGGACCAGACGGACATCAGCCTCCGCCAGGCTTGTTTATTTTATTCGCACATTCTTCTCCGTTTGTTTTCGCTCTTTTTCTCCCCAGCTCTTCACAACCTTTACAGTGTTTGCTATGAAGAATCCTGTGTATAGCATGGCAATGTATAGCACCAAATGGCCGATTCGTTGATATCGGGAAGTCCGACGTTGCGGCCAACTGACCACTGCTTATGGCCGGCTTCGCTCGTCACGCCAGCTTGACTTTGGCGAGTCTTCACCAAGTCGTACAGACGAATCCTTCTTTGACACGCGGATTGGTTGTGATGGCCCTGGAGCTGTCCGTAAATGACAGGGTCGGCATGCTTGCGCCGGGGCATCTGTTTCAAATACCTGAGCTCGAAAAGGCTCTGCGCTAATTACATGCGAGCGAGGACGCTGGGAGTATTCTGGTGACAATTCATCCTGATGGCGTGGTACCGGTAACGAATTTGATCAATCTCACCTTTTCAGTGTGAATCTAGAATCCTTGGCCAACTCAGAAATCCATCTTGCACAAGTGTGGCACGATATTCGACGCGAACGCGTCATATTAGTTGTGGAGGTCTGGGTGGCCTGGGCCTGTGTCATCGGTGACCGTGGCGCTAGAAATAATATTGCTTCACTGATGGCGACAGAACTGCGCAACTGGGTAAAGGGATAAACCCGTGTGTCGATTGCGGTGTTCGAGATGATGGATTAAGGATGGACTAATATTTGGAGATCTCAATGCGGATTTCTCTCATACTTGCCATATTGGATCATGCAGCCGCGTTATCAAGGTTCAATGTTTTGTCAAAGGCCTCCTCCAGTAAGGCAACGCAACTCCCATACTTTCCAACTCAAATTGCTCGGAAGATAGGTATCTCGTTGCTCTTCCAACTGAGGGCAATTCTTTCTATCTCGCCCTCCACACCTTCAACAACGATACAGGTTTCCACCTGGAATTAGTTGAGAAACTGACCAAAATGAAAAGCAACCGCATTAAAGAGACCCCGTTCACCGCTCATGGAGTCATCAAAAAGATTGAGTGGTGTTGATTGTACACCACATCCGTGTGAATTATAAGGTGAGTACATCTAGCACGGCATACGAAGTCTCCGTATATTTACTCTGGAATCGTTTCGCAGTCGCCTCATAGGCACCACAATCAACGGTCAAGCCTCCTTGACGGCTAGCACATTCATACCAGATGAACGGCTGACCCGATCAGATGCCGATGTTGTTCTCTACTTTTTGTCCAGCCCAGGGGTTATGTCGACGGAACCCAACGATGACAAATGGTTTCGCACGACGCATGCTTTTGGCGAAATGGTCTTCACGAACGGGCGCCGCCCCACAAGTATTTACACTCCTGATGTCCCAGCCTCGCCTCTTGCATGTGCGAGCCAATACCAGTTCTGCAATGCCGACAAGGACCATTGTGGCCCGCTGGCGAGCGCCACAGACGCTGTGTCCTGGGCCGCGCCCATGTTCGGGACGACCACCGACATGTTCCGCCACATCAACATGACCGAGCCTGCGGCAGGCCGGTTCCAGCGCCTCACGACGACCTTACAAGTATATCCCATTCAGTTCGGCGTGTTGTTTGACGATCTCGGCGCAGAGTCACTGCTCGCCCGGCAGACCCTCAACGACGGCATGCAGGGCCTCCTCCCGGACGACCAATGGCAGCGCGAGATGACGGCGTGGTGGGCAGCTGCTCTGGCTGGCTTACAGGCCTTTTTTGTGCAAACAGCGGCCGGTGTCACATTCCCAGGGCTCGAGGACTATCGAGGTTATGAGCCCTTTTACTCCTTTGAAAAGGACATGTGCTCAAATCAGGCTAGTTCAATCACTCCATACACACCATAACCGCTCCCCTTTCCCCGACTTTAAAAACTAACACACATCCTTTTGCTTCCAGAAAATCCTTTCTACGTCTAACGGTTCATTTTCCGCATTCGGTCTCTCCTTAATTTACGTCATCGGCGCCATCATCATAACGCTCTCATACACCCTCGAGCCGTGCCTGCGATGCTGCCACCGCCGCCATCTCAGGTGGCACGAGGACCGCGGGCTCGACCACGCCGAGACGTACAAGGATGCGGAGTGGTGTGCCAACAACACGCTCCAGCTGCTGCGCTTCACGCACGAGAACGCGGGCGTGGGGGAGTGGACGCGCTGCGCAGAGGACACGCCGGTGCTCGTCGACGCGGGCACGCCGCTGTGCGCGCTGGACCTGCAGGAGCCGGCGCACCCGCGTCTATCGAGAGGGATGACAACGACGACGAGTGAGATGTCTGACGATCCTTCAGATCATTCCACACGAGATATCGATACGATGAGCCAGGATACTTACCCATCCGCCGGCGAGCCGGCGCCTATGCCCGCTCCCGACGAGACTCCACCACTCGCACACGAGATGATGCAAGTACGTCCAGCAGCGTCGTCAGGTGTAAGCACGGAGGCGGAGTGGCTGGAGTCACCTAGACCTGTTTCGCCACTGACCATGCCAGAATTCAGGCGTGGGCGTTGCAAAAAGTCTAGGGTCAACTGGTCGTGAGTGGTAATGATTCCGGACATCAGCCAAGCCCAGCTTGATTAAAGTGATGTGTCTGTAGAAGAAAGCGAAGGTTAAGACAAAAAAAAAATAAAAAGAGAAAAAAGAAAAAGGAAAATATTAGAGTCAGGGCTCAACCGGGATTTGAACCCGCTGTGTTGTGTTAGAAGTGTGTAGTTATGGTTAGGCAGCGGGTGAACTTACGGGCCTCTTGCAGTGCGCTGGTAACCCAAAGCAAGAATCATACGACTAGACCATTGAGCCGGTTGGTGGCAAACTTTCAAAACTTGGGAGCTATAAGGACTGCACGCTGACCAATCTGAAACGGCTCACAGCCAAGGTGGGGCGACAGCCGCCACAACGCCTGCTTGGAATTCCAAAGCTACATCTCAATCTTCCTAATTGTATCATTTGTACATAGAGACCTGCACATATTTGAAGCTTGGGGATTTCTTGAAGAACGGGCATCTTCACACGCCTAGATACTCGAGGGCCAACCTCGAGATCTGCCAGATTGCCAACCCTCCGAGTGATTACTCAGAAGCCCAACCAACACTTTTGGTTGCATTAGGCCAGCAAGTTCAATATTGCGTGGAAACATTGTTGATCTCGCCTACTGGTGCACTTCAAAATGCTTTTCTTCAACGCAACTACGCCGGGCCAGATATTCATGAGTCAATTTGGGCTGCCGTCAATTATACTACTAGTGTTGATATGATGGGAAGGCGAGCACGCAAGTACCTAGTTACCCCTTTTGTTCTGTGGATAACGGATGTTTCCAGACACTTCTTCGTCACTTTTTCCGACGAGGTTCTAGACTTCACTTCAGACAACTAGAAACACGAAAATAGAGCAAGGTACCCATTTCCCACTTCTGGGATGCATTCTCCGTTGTCCAACACGGCATTGCCCGACTTCTACGCGACAACACCGATGAAGAGCACACATCCGACGCCGATTTCGAAAGGGGGCCTGGCCAGTCCCGTGCAACTGGAACCGGTCTGCTTTAGGGAATTGTCTCCAGCTTGGCGTTCTGTTGCTGTCAAAACTGACTCATAGATTGACACGAATTTAAAGTTTATCTCAGCCTCGCAGGGAGGGAACATCCTCGACAGTTCCACAGCGCCCCTGACTGCTTGGCGACTGTTTGCTCTCTTTCTCGCCTTGGTTCCCCGAACACGAGATCAATGCCGGTAAGCGTGATGAATTTCCCACCCGAAAGGAGCTCGAGGTGCCCAGGCCTAAGCCTCAAGACTCAATATACGGGCACTTATTCTGCCCCTGGCTAGTCAATTTGGACGAACATGCGTTCGTCGACGGACAATACGTCGGCTCCGAGTAAGAGGCCATGGCATTTCTCATCAAGACATCATGATTCTACAGTATATAAGATCCCATGTGCTGGCGTTATCACATCATCTTGAAGGTTGTCATCATCATCAAGCTCTTCCGCTATCACCTCATTGAATCACATTCGTTCATCAAATCTCACTCCATACACTCTTTACAAGTTACTTTCCAGCAGAGACACCCAACCCCCCCCCCAGTCAAAATGCAGACCTCTATCCTCTCTCTCCTCGCTGTCGCTGGCCTTGTTGCAGCCATGCCCGTAAGCCATCTCTACAGCTTGAGAAAGAAGAAAATACCAACGTGACTAACTCGCAATCAGCACCCCGACGGCACACAACCAACCCCCACGGGAACCTCACCCACAGGCACCAGCGTGAGCTCCGCGCCCTCGGTGACCTGCAGCCCGGGCCCCACGGTCGACTACACCGTCACGTCCGGCGACACCCTGACCATCATCTCGCAGAAGCTGAGCTCCGGCATCTGCGACATCGCAAAGCTGAATAGCCTCGCCAACCCGGGCTTCATCACCCTCGACCAGGTCCTTAAGGTCCCCACCTACCCTTGCAGCCCGGACAACACCTCGTGCCTCGCCGAGCCCTCCGATGACAACGACTGCGTCGAGAGCGGCGAGGCTACCCACACCATTGTCTCTGGGGAGACCTTCTTTATCGTGGCCTCGAACTTGGGGTTGACTGTGGATGCCCTCCAGGCTGCCAACCCTGGTGTCGACCCTCTGTTGCTGCAGATTGGTCAGGTTGTCAATGTTCCGGCTTGCAACACAGAGCTGTAAGGCGCTTAAGTGTTCGTTGCCCAGCGCGTAGGAGGGGGGATGATGAAACTGGATACTCGGGATGGGTTGGTTTAAATAGGTAGCATAGACGAACTTGATGAGTATGAACCACGGCTACTCTTTATAAATCACTGGGCTGTCAACAATTCGTGACGCATGCTTCATTCCATGGCAGTGCTAAGCCAATGCTGTACTTGATCAATGATGGGAAGCAAAACATCAGGAAAACAAATTCATCTGTCTTTCCGTCCTGTGCATCCTTGATCATGCGCTGATAATCCTCCCCTCCCAGATTTGTAAGTGGTAGGTGGTTTCGTTCTGAATCCGTGTACATACGCTTCTTAAGCAGTATGTAGGCGGTCCCTTCATACAGTGGTAAACGCTGAAACACTAACCTCCTAAAAGAGAACCTCCTGTGGAATAATCTCTAATAGGTAACCGGCTGGAAGGCAAGTAAGCTACAGAGGCTCCACAATGACGTTTAGAAACTTTTGGGCATGTGGCTGTGTTACTGTAATAGTTGTTGTGACTGGTGCTTCTAGAGCTCATCCGCTTCCCGGCTGCTACACGCAGGTAAGCTCGAGCTGCACGAAAGTGACTTTATCACCATGCAAAATAATCGTAAATCATAGTTCACTTGTGAGAACAGGTTCTGTCCAACCATTGGTGTCATAATACTACCTGCCTGTCGATGTACCACCGAGATCAAACTCTTTGAGTGCCGCAACGAGTCTGGGATATGTGGGTGCGGGTTCGTTAAGAGAGTCTCCGGTATTGTCTCAAGCTCGTCTTGACGTACTAAGCTACCTAGGTATCTTCCTCGTCGAGTACATATTACCTATTACGCAACCAGTCCCGCAACTTTGCGTATCGTGAGAGCTACTAACGCCATCGTGAGCATTCACTTTCTTCTGTACATTACGAGCTAGCATCGAAGTCATTTGCAGAGAAAATTCACCTGCTCGAGTGGTTCATTCACTTTCCGTCGGGCCCCATATATATTCAAATCTCCGTCTGGGAACGTCTTCAGCCTCAACTCTGCCATCTTCTCTTCCCGGCCTCGTCTTCTTGACTTTGCCTTACTCGTCAATTTCCTCTTGACTTGCAACAAAGTCGTGTCCAGCGAAACCTCACAGAAGACAATAATCTCTGCGGTGGCAGCTTACTCTACAACGTAAGCAAATTGTCGCCCAGTCTTCAGTCTTTAATAAATTCAACTAATCTCATCAGCTTCTACAAATAGACCAGCTGTCATATTCGACGAAAGCGACGAGTGGCAGAATCTTCGTCATGGCGCGAGTCTACATCATGCCGACACATCAGAGCCCAGGCTGGTTGATTCCCACGATCTGCGTCGTCTACGGACTACTGGCCATCTTCACTGCCTTCTTGGTCACCAAAAACATCTCCGACTTTCGTGATAAGGCTCTACGCAGGCTGCCAGCACGCTTCGAAGACCACGCCTTCATCCGAGGTACATTGACAGCCCTCATCATCATCGTGCCATCGCTCCTCTGGCCAATGATTATGGCAGTCACCCTCCCCATCATCGCCGCCCTCTGGCTCCTGGCTGAGATTCGGAAATGCCGTGAGAGAAGACTCGCGCGTCGACAAACGGAGCGAGCTCCTGACCTGGAGCGGGGTGTCCTGAACCCCGACAACGGCGAGCATCGAGAGAACGGAATCGACGAGGGCCGTCAGATGGGCGAGCCATCAATTCCCATGGTACAGATCACCGAACCTCCGCCAGCCTACACGCCGTACCCATCCGTACTCGCTACCCTTCAGACCCAGTGGCTTCAGACGTCGGACAGGAACGCGGAACGGCACATAGTTCACTTAAACACTAGGAGAATACCTTGGAGAACGCCTGAGGAAATGCTAGGATCGGCGAGCAGAGTCACCATGATACCTCCGCGATGAATACTTGGGCAGTGCGGAGGAGGGGAAGAGGGATTCTCGTTTCGGCGTGTTGTGGGGCAATCTGAGGTGGTTGCTAGATGTCTTCGATGACGGCTCCGAGGAGCGCCTGTCCGAGACGATGCCAGAACGGAGGATGGGCAGGGGGGAAATGGTTGACGGGTGTCGCTAGTACTGTGATACAAGGTACTCATCACTACAGCTTGTACCTGGCTTCGGGATGGTGCGAGGGCCAAGGATGGCAACGAGCAAGATATCATGTATGGTACGCTTCTTGACGAAGAGGAATGGGCAATTGGATGTCCAAACTTCACATAAGCAGACACTGCAGGATCTGTAGTCGGTGACTCTAAGAAGCACCTTCAGCCAGAATCAAATATTATCTGACTGATAAATACATGTGATACTGGATGGGAAGGCCTCCTACTAGGCTCTCATGTCTCCATACATATTCATGCAAGGGTTGTAAATCATGCTATTGTGGAGTCCTTATGTCGTTGTAGCATTGTCCGGTGTGCCAGCTCGCCCATTGGTGTGGCACCGGAGCTCACCGATCATCACGTAGTCCTCCATCACCCGAGCCTGCTTGTGCCTTCTCTAATCTACCAAAGTCTTCCCCCTTTGACGCGAAACCATCTCCGAGGCCACTGACCTGACGCTTGCCACTGTCGGGGTCCAGAACATCGCTGCGTGCATCTGTTTCCTCACCAACCTCAAGTCGTTGGCCGATACTAAGATCAGCTGAGGCGACCGCAAGGTTCGGTGAGAAAGGAATCTCGCCTTCGCCACGACGCTCAATTGGAACGAAGACATCCATCATTCGTGGGAAAACAAGACCAAAGGCTATGATTACCATGCACAGATGGCCGACGATGAATCCGAATATTTGCAGTGGGTCGTAACGCACAGCTACGAAGGCGGGGTATCCAAGAGTGAAGACGATGAAAAGAATAGGCGCTGAGCAGTACCGGACGAGAAAGCCCCAGTAGAAAGGGATAGACCAGTTCTTGCCGGTGGCGACGACGAGGTTGAGGTCGTGAGTGAGTTGGAGACCCTATTCATCACGTTAGAAAACTTTGAAGCGACCAGACTCTCCATGAGGACGACCTACTGAGTAGACGCCCAAGTAGTACGTCTTCTCTAGCCATTGACTCTTCTTCCAGAACGGAGGGGGTGCCGAGTCTGGTCGCCTTGCCACGAAAAG